AAATCAAGAATGAATTTAAATATGTTTCTTAACCTCATGGCTTTGTAGAGTTCTGCAAGCTATTTATGTGTGTATTTCAAATCTTGATACGTTTCTTAGCCTCTCTGAGCCCCAGCTTCCTCTCCTATGTAATGCAGAGATTAACAACTACCTCACAGGTTGTTTAAAGATGAATTAGATTGTGTATATGATTTGTGGAAGCCCTGGTGGCGTACTGGTTAAGAGCTACGACTGCTAACCAAAAGGCGGGCAGTTTGAATCCACCAGGCGCTCCTTGGAAGCTCTATGGGGCAGTTCTACTCAGTCCTGTAGGGTTGCTATGAGTCGGAATCGACTCGACGGCAGCGGGTTTGGTTTGGCTTTTTATATGATTTGTATACTGATTCCCTAGCTTGACACAACTATGGCAACCCTAGCGAAAGGAACTAACATTTCTCAGCCACCAGATATGTACCAGGAAGACAAACAGTGACATTAAAGGGATTTCTGGAGGTTACTGATTGTAAATCATTACACGTATATTTTGAATTCACCACAAACGTCTTTCATTCAAGAATCAGCAAGGCTTGGAGTCAAAGCTACCATTTGTATTGTAGCAATACAACGAGCCTTGTGGGGTTAGCCTAGGAACTCAGATGCCCTTTATAAGTTTATTCCTATGTGAAAACCTAAAACAAGTTTGAAACAAATGTGATCAGGTTTTTTTTTTTTCTGGTACAAACCATGTACAAGTGGGGACTACCTGAATTTAGAAATTTGATTACTCCCTCCTATCTTGATGTTGCTATTTCCTTTTGAGTGTCACAACTGAGGGGTCATGGTGCTCCTAGCATCTAGTGGGTAGAGGCCAAGGGATGCTGCTAACCATTCTACGAAGCACAGGGAAGCCCCCCACCACAACGAATGGTCTGGCCCAAATGTCAGTAGTGCCAAGGTTGAGAACACCTGGCATATACATACATTTGGATATAGATTAATCTTTTACAAAATTTGGGTGCTTTCTATAATCTGATTTTTTGCATATTAGTATCATGAGCATCTTTCCATACCCATAAATATTTGAGATTTCTACCTCAAAACTCTTTTCTTTTTATTGTACTTTAGATGAAGTTTTACATAGCAAATTAGTTTATCGTTAAACAATTAATACACATATTGTTTTGTGATGTTGGTTGCCAACCCCACGTGTCAACACTCCCCCCTTCTCAACCTTGGGTTCCCCATTACCAGCTTTCCTGTCCCCTCCTGCCCCTGGGCTGGTGTGCCCATTTAGTCTCGTTTTGTTTTACGGGCCTGTCTAATCTTTGGCTGAAGGGTGAACCTCAGGAGTGACTTCAGTACTGAGATAAAACGGCGTCCGGGGGCCATCCCCTCGGGGTTTCTCTAGTCTCTGTTAGACCAGTAAGTCTGGTGGTTTTTTGCGAGTTAGAATTTTGTTCTACATTTTTCTCCTACTCTGTCCGTGACCCTCTGTTGTGATCCCTGTCAGAGCAGGCAGTGGTGGTAGCCGGGCACCATCTAGTTGTGCTGGACTCAGTCTGGTGGAGGCTGTGGTAGTTGTGGTCCATTTGTCCTTTGGACTAATCTTTCCCTTGTATCTTTGGTTTTCTTCATTTTCCCTTGTTCCAGATGGGGTGGGATCAGAGGAGTATGTTAGATGGCTGCTCACAAGCTTTTAAGACCCCAGACGCTACTCACCAAAGTAGGATGTAGAACATTTTCTTTATAAACTGTGTTATGCCATTTGAGCTTGATGTCCCCCGAGACCATGGTCCCCAGCCGTCAGTCCAGTAATTCGGTCCCTCAGAGAGTTTGGATGTGTCTATTAAGCTTCCATGACCTTGCCTTGGTCAAGCTGTGCTGACTTCCCCAGTATTGTGTACTGTCTTACCCTTCATCAAAGTTACCACGAATCTATTGTCTAGTTCCTACCTCAAAACTTTTGCTGGATGCTTCATATGCCATTTTCCATGAGCATTTTATCTATTTTATTTTACTGTCCTCCAATGTTAGACGTTCTTTGCTGTTGTTGTTACAGACAGTACTGTGATGAATATTTTTGACCTACATCTTTGTGCTCTGGTCCTATTATTTCTTTAGGATGAATCCTAAAAAATGAAACTGCTCAGTGAAAGGACTTGGAAGCTGGCATCAGCTTATACTCACGCCAGCAGGACATGACATGCCTGTTTGCCTGCAACTTCCCTGACACTGAGGTTTCCTGTCTTTAAACATGCCTTGTCCCTGGGGTGCCCAGGCCCAGACCCAGTGCTCTGTGGGGGGTCTAGCTGGGGTGGGGTTGAGGTCCTGACTCCACGTCTGCTGCAGACACTGGGCGACTGTTGGGACAGAATCCCAATTATATACATGTGACCAGGGGTTCTTACTGTCTTTCTTTCCTGCAGGGGCCAGACACATCAGTCAGGCCTCAGCCAAAGTCGATGTGGAGTTTGATTATGACGGGCCTCTGATGAAGACGGAAGTCCCAGGGCCTCGGTCTCGGGTAAGTTGACCACACCTGGGTGGTGCATTTTGGAAAAGGCAAGAACCTGGATGAGCTTAGGGACCTGGGCTGTGAGTGGTTTTCAGAGAGCTCACTACTAGGGATTGGGGACGTTAAGCTAGGACTAGGTACTCTAGTGTTGCACACACCTTGGGCGAGGCAATTCATCTCTCTCAGCCTCAGTTTCCTTAACTACAAAATGGGCACAGGATTGTTGAAAGATTGAGACGATGTGTGCACTGACCCCTGTACCGTCTAGGACTCAAAGGCAGGCCCTTCCTGTTCTTGTGAAATCTTCTAGGCTGCCTTTGACTGCCCAGTGAGTAGTGAGTCTCAGGCTTTTTATGAAGGATCCAAAAGTAGCATATACTCATTTATTCTGGGTTATGTTTTGTTTTTCCTTTTTCATTTAACCACAATTATTTTCCTCTCTTTTGGAAACACTCCATAGAATTTCTCTCTCTCTCTCTCTCTCTCTCGGCAATAGCCAGAGATGGGAAACAAGTTTTAACTATTACCCACCTACCACAGTACTGATTAATTAGTAGTAATATCAAAAGCACTGTGTTGAGAAAGGTTCTGAGGATGCATCTAGGCTCTGCAGAAAAGAATTCCAGATCTATTAGCACTGTCTGCCGTCGATGCAGGAGAGAGGAGTGCCTATGTGCAAACTCAGTATTTGCTGTCCCCCGATGACCAAAGGAGTGAAGCTGTTGATCAAGGTTTAGTGCCTTTAAAGGACAGTCCAGCTTTCTCCATGTTCTCTGCCACACCTCCTAACATGGTCTCCTCCTGACAGGGGTGCTACTCCTGTTTCCCTAAACATCACCATCCCTACACTCAGGCAGTCCTGGGATGCAGGTGACGAGGTGGAGAGGAAAGGAGCTCGCGGTCTGTTGGGAAGAGAGAAATGGGACTATTTACATCAAATGGGCAGAGCTAGAATAGCGATGTGAGCAGAGTGAGGTGTTGGCGCAGAGGTGAAATGATGACTCATCTGCCATAAGAAGTTAAAGAAGACTTCACAGAGCAGATGGATCAGCTATCTGCTGCCACCATAATGCTGGGTAACAGACAACCACAAAACCTCAGCAGCATACTACATTAGTGTTTATTGCTCATGCATCTGAGGCTAATGGAAGGTTGGGTAGGCAGCTCTGCTGGGCTCACCTACAGCCTAGGGGTCGACTGGCTGTCGGCTGATCTAGCTAGGATTGTCTGGGGTGACTGGGGTGACTTGGCTGTGTCTCTCGTCCTCCAGCAAGCTGGGCAGGGCTTGTTGTCATGGCGATGGCAGGGGTACAAAAAGCAAGAAGACAGCCTAGGCTCCACACTGGCCCAAACCACTTCTATCTCATTCTGTTGGTCAAAGCAAGTCACAAGGCTGAGTCCAGAGTCAAGGGGCAGGGCAGACATCCCACCAACAGTGGGAGAACACAGCAACATTATATGGGCTCAGGATGGATGAAGAATTAGGGCCATTTCTGCAGTCCTCCATAGAAGGTGACCAAAAAATGGAATTTTAAAACAGTGCCATTTACAGTAGCATCAGAAATATCAAATACTCTTGAGCTTGAGCTTGAAGGCTAAGAAAGAGGAATGTGACAAAGGACGGCATTCAGTTCTAGGCAAGGGGAACGGTATGTGGAGAGGCATGCAGGGTACAGTACATGGCATTTCTCCCTATTTCTCCAGTGAGAGGCATTGGGTAGCTCTGAGTCACTGGGGTAGACGTTAGGTGTGAGATGGAAGACACACAAGATGAGGGAGGTGGGGACCGGGTTATGCCTTTGCCCCTAGGCTTGGGAAGGCATGAATGGTTTTTAAGCTACTTTGGCAAGAGTGTGTCCTATACTATGATGGTTTTGTTCTTCTCACTTGCAGGAGTTAATGAAACAGCTGAATATAATTCAGGTAAGTGGGGATAAGGAGGTATCTCCTCCATCACTTCTCTATTGCAGTTTCGCCAAGAGACACAGATGCTTGAACTATGCTGGCCCTTTTTTAAATACTCTAGTTGACTTTTGTTCTAAACCTTTTTTCCCCCATAAATTCCTGTGTGATTTCTCCACTGACCTATTGGTTATTTATGAGTTGTTTAATTTCCACATATTTGTGAATTTCCCAGATTTCTTTTAATTACTGATCTATAAGAATATATCAATTTCTGAGAACATATTTTGTGTGATTTCAATCATTTTAAATTTATTGAGCTTTTTTTATAGACCAGCTTATGGTTTATCCAGGAGAATGTTCCATGTGTGCTTGAGAAAAATGTGTGTATTGTGATGTTGTTGGGTGGAATATTCTATAGATGTCTTTTAGGTCTTCTTGGCTGATGGTATTGTTCAAGTCTTCTGTTTCCTTATTGTTCTTCTGCCTACTTGTTCTATAGATTATTGAAAGCAGGGTAATGAAGTTCTCCAACTATTATTGTTGAATTGTTTATTTCTCCTTTCAATTCTGTTAATTTGTGCTTCATGTATTTTGGGGGCTCTGTTGTTAGGTGCATGTATGTTTATAATTATTATATCTTCTTTGTGGGTTGAACCTTTATCATTATAAAATGTCTATCTTTATCGCTAGTTACTTTTTATGTTTTTATAGTCTACTTTGTCTGATAATAGCATAGCCATTCCAGCTTTCTTATGATTGCTATTTTTATGATATGTCTTTTTCCATTCATTTACTTTCAACCTGTTTGTATTTTTGAATCTAAAGTGTGTCTCCTGTAGTCAGCATATAATTGGATCTTGTTTTTTATCAGTCTGATGATCCCTGCCTTTTGACTGAATTGTTTAATACATTCACATTTAATGTTATTGGTGTGGTTGTATTTACCTCTGCCGTTTTGCTTTTTATTCTTTGTATGTCTTTTGTCTTTGTGTGGTTGTTGTTGTTCCTCTATTCCTCCTTAACTGCTTTCTTTTGCATTAAGTGAATATTTTCTAGTGTATCATTTTAATTCTTTTAATGTTTATTTTGCTATTTGAGTTATTTTCTTGGTAGTTGCCCTAGGGCTTACAACGTACATCTTAACTTATCAGAATCTACTTCAGATTTATATCTATGTCTTTTTTTATTGAGATACATAATACAAACACAGAAAAATTCATAAAATACAAATTCACAGCTTAATAAACTAGTATAAAACAAATCACCATGTAATTACCCCCAGGGCAAGAAATACAACTTTGCCAGCACCCCCAGATACCTTCCATGCGTCTATAGTATGAGCAAGACATAGTTCATTTCACCAAGTTAAGCTTAATCCTGAGAGATAGAGAATCTAGGGAATTGCAGCAAACCTAAGTCAGCCTTTTACTTCCCCAAGAACGCAGAGGCTGTGCATTTTTTCTGCAACTATGAAGAGAGCCGAGGCAACTACCTGGTCGACGTGGATGGCAACCGGATGTTGGATCTTTACTCACAGATCTCCTCTGTCCCCATAGGTAAGAGCTGGAAAATCAGTCCTTAAATGTGGCCTCTCTCTCTGCCTCTTAGTCATGGCCATCCAGGCTTTCGATGCTCCTCCCAGCAGGCACATCCCTATGTTTGGGGCTACTCATCACCAGCCACTTCCCACAAGGGCAGGGAAAAGAACAAGTGATATGTAGAGGGCCTACTATGTGACAGGCACCTTACATATCTTATCCCATTTACTCCTTCCCAGAACCTTACGAGGTCA